TCGCCCCAACTCCCCTTCCAGTATCCGTCCTGGGGTGGTGCGTTTTGGGGTCCACAGGGGCGCAGCCACCACGGCCGCTCCCGCCTCTGCATTTCTGCTCACACGGGAATCCGCACGCGGCTGCGCTGCGGCTGGCGTGGGGTGCGGGGCTGGCAGTTTGGGGAGGCCCCGCGGAAGCCGGCACCCGGGAGGCTCAGTTGGCGCCTGGGGCCCCGTCCCAGGCGCGCCCCGCTCCCGCCGGGCGGCCGGCCGGCCGAGCTGTGGCTACAGCGTTACCTGCCCTTTTCTCGGCTCCGGCACAAATCCGCGCCTAGCCCGGTAACCCGATCCCCGGCCCCGACCAGAGGAGGGGGCGGTGGGAACGCCGCAAAAGGGGCTCCCTGCTCCCCAGCCGCGGAAGGGAGTTGGGATGCGGTTCAGGTGATCGAGGTGCGCCACTCCAGGCGCAGGAAGCCGTTTCCACGCCGCTGCCGTCGCCGCTCTGTACCGAGCGGATCTTGAGGGCTCGCGCGCGACCGCAGCTCGGAGGGCGTGTGGCCGGCTGGCGGGGCAGTGGCGAGGGATGCTCCAAGGGGTCCCCACAGTGCCGGGACCCGGGACCTGGTGGGTCCCGCCTCCCTGGACCCCAGCCCCGAGGCGGCCCGGGGGCCCGGTCTTGGCGCCCCTGACCGCTCCCCGCCGCGCGCCCGGGTGCCCGCCGCTCTGCCGGCTCTGGGAATCGAATTTAACGCCTCTCGGCGGTGATTGTCAGCGCTAATTGCCCCAACAATGGGCAGCGGGAAAGGGGAGACACCCTACGCGGGGCCCCGCCGGGCCGCGGACCAAGCTGGAGCGGCGCCGGCCCCGTCCCCTCTGGCCTGCGCCGCCTCCCCCGACGCGCGGCTGCCCCGGGCCTACGGGTGCAGCGGGAGCCGCACGCGGCTGGGGCTTCTCCGCCTCCCGCCCCCAGCTCCCGGCCCTCGGGGTCGTCCGCGCCGTCCCCGCCCCGCGGGTTCCCGGCTGCAGGTCTGCGGCTCGGCGCGGCCGGGTCCGCCCAGGCCGGCGCCGAGGCTGCGGGGGGAGGGCGGCGGCTGCGCGGCCCGGCTCCGCGTTCTGCTCCCGCCGGCCACTACCTGCCGCCCCCCGCGCCCGGCCGCCGACTCCGCGCTCCGCCCGCCAGGTCTCGAAGCAAACGCGCTGGGATGCCCGGCCCGAGGCTGGCACCGGGTCGCCGAGACCCCTCCGGCCGCGGCCGCGCGCCGTCCCCTGCTCGGGCGGCGCGGGCGCCCGGGATGCTCGGCTCGGCATCTCGGCCCCGCGGAGCTCGCCTGCAGCGGGAGGTCGCCAGGCTCGGGTGGGTGAAGCTGGCCGCGTTAACGTGCGTGCTCTGGGCCCCGCGACCCCAGGGGTGAGCCGGGGTGTGGAGGTGGCTCGCTTCTGGCGCACAAGGCTCCCGCGAGGCCGGTGTCTCTGTGGGGCGCCCAGGAGGGACCTGCCGTGGGCATGTGTGTGTGTGTGTGTGTGTGTGTGTGTGTGTGTGTGTGTGGGGGTGGGGAGGGGTGGCCGTGCGGGTCCCGGCTTATCCCCGACCCGGGGAGCGAGAGCGGCTCCATTTCTTACCCTTTCCCCAAGAGGGCACACACGCCCCGCTCAACTTGACGCCTGAACGCAGTCGCCCCGAGCCTCGCGCCCCGGGCCCCACGCTCCGACCCTGCGCTTCTAGGGGTCGCTGGAGGCGTCATCGCCTGCTCGGTCTCGGGGTCCCAGACTCGCCCGCCCCTTACCCGGCAGAGCGAGGCCGCGCGCCCTAGCGGAGCCCGGGGCCGGCGGCGGCAGCATCCTCGGCCTCGGGCTTCCCAGCGGCCCGGCCGCGCCGGCGGCTCCCGGGTAGGGGAGGTGGGGAGGGGGCGCTGGCTGGGCCGCGGGCCGGGGCGCCGGGGAGGGGCCGTCGGTCCTGGCTGCAGGAGGCCAGGAACATTTTTTTTTTTTTTTGCGCGGGGATCCGGAGGGGGTCAGGCCCACCTTCCACCCCCTTTCCCAACCCCCTCCTCTCCCCTCCCCGCCGCCCCGCGAAGAGGAAGCCAGGCCTGCTCGTGCCGGCGAGGCGGGTCTGGCCGGCGCCGGGCCCGACCCAGACCCCCGCGGCCCAGCTCTGCGCCTCGGGCCAAGTGCCGCAGCCGCGCCCCCGTCGCACTCCCGGCCCCCTTCTGGGCCGCGGGTCCCGGGCCGACCCCGGCCCTCCCCTCGCCCGCAGCCCCCTCCCCTCCGGGGCCCTCCCCCCCGGCTGCGAGCTCCGAGCTCTGGGGCTGGGCCCGTGACGTCAAGCCCGGAGTGGCGTCGGCGAGACTGGCCGGCGCGGGCCATCAAAAGAGCAACGTCCTCTTTCCCAATTACCCACTGTCAGTCCGGGAACCGGGGCGGTCCGGCTGGGAATTAAATGTTAAATACCCCCTACAGGCTGGCTCCACTACCCGCGGCACCCAGCCGCAGGCCCCGCACCCCTCTCCGCGCGCGCCAAGCCCCCGCGCCCAGAGGGGGCCTTCCCCATCTTTTATTTTTCCAAGGGAGGAGGGATGCTGTGTGTGGCCTCTTCCCAGCAGGCCGACCCTCTGCTCGGCGTTTCATGAAATCCACTCCCCCTAACCCCGAGTTGCGTGCGTTTTCAGATAAGTCTTCAGCACCAGAAGGCCTCCCGCGCACAAACGTTTTCTCTTTGTCTGGATAAACGGCGCTGGGCCCCACCAGTTGACGTGTGCAGGTCTGGAGGCCTGCAGCCAGGCCTGGTTCGGGCGCCCGGGCTCCCAGCTCCAGCGCGCCGAGGGCTGAGCAAGCAGCGGTCTGTCCGCGTGGCGCCGGCCAGCTCTGGGTCCCCATGCACGGCTCTGTCCTTTCTCTGCCGCCCACCATTCACCTTTATCTCGGGGCTCGGAGAAAGGAAAAAAAAAGTGTGTGCGTGCATCTTCTTGTTTGGGGAGCAGTTTCCGGTGAATGTTAGAAACTAAATAATTAAAAGAGCTCGAGAGCGCGGAGCGCAGCAGCGGCTGCCAGCGGCCCAGGCCCTGGAGAGCCGTGGTTAGAGTGGACGGAAAATCGATGCTCTTTACTGGGCCAGTGGGCTCCGGAGGAACACGGAGGGGTGTTTAATTCAGGCGTTTTCCTTGCTGCTCGGGAGGTGAAAACTCAACCCCGCTCTGGAGCAAATCTGATTTAAGGGGAGGTGGAGTTTAGATCGGGGACCCTGGCTTTGCGCTTTTCCTGCCGAGTAAGTCCTGGCTCTGCCTGCAAGGGTTGGGTGGAATCTCCCACTCCGTCCAGCCCGAGCGAGCCAAGGCCCGGCAGGGGTACAGGCGGGCAGGGGGAGCCTTCAGAACTTACTTGCCGGGACGGAGTCTTGTAGCTCGTGCTTTGGGTACCTGGAGGGGACTTTGGGGGGGAGGCAGAGAGGGCCCGAGGGAATAGGGTCTTCGATTCAAAGCATCCCCTCTACCCAGCCCGCAGGAGAAGCCCCGGCTCCTCGCGCCCGGCGTGCAGTGGGGGCGCGGAGAGTGGAGCCGGGGCCTCCTTTCCCGCCTGGCCCCCGCCAGTCGGGGCTCAGGAGCGCGAGCACCGCTAGGGGGATGCCGTGGCTCGGAGGACCAGTGGCTCCGGGGAGGTTGAGCCCCAGGCCCGGGCCAATCGCCGCCCGGCCGCAGCTCGCCCGCTAATTGGCCCGGTCCGAGGCCCCGCCCCTCCGCGCCCCGCCCCCTCCCCGGCACGGCCCGCGGCCGAGCTCCCCGGGCCGGGGGCTGTACGGCGCCCGGGACCTTCCAGCGGCCGCCGAGGTGGCGCGGGAGGGTCCGGCGGGCGGCCTGGTGAGGGGCGTGGGGGCTGTTTTCCTGGGCTGGGAAAACGCCGGGAGCCGGAGTAAGTAGGATCCGGGCCGGGGAGGGCTGGGCAGGGCAAGTTGGGGCGCCGGAGCGCAGCCCCGAGCTGGTTCCCTGCTCCCGGGCTCGGGGGTCCAGCGAGCCCCCCCAAAGCACGTCCTGGTCACACACACGATCCCTTCAGAGGACAGCTGCAGAAACAGGCCCAGGGGAGGCCGAGAGGCTGGGGAAGGTCGTCCACGAGCCCCCCAGGCTCCCCCGATCCCGGGAACACGCGCCCCGCGGCCCCCCACCGCCCCTGCGCCCCCCGCCCGCGTCTTCCAGAACGTCGGCTCCAGGCTCTCAGAGAGAATCGCACTTTATTCTTAATTTTGTTGTTGTTGTTTCGTATCTGTGTTGACATCACCCCAAATCAATGAACTCCCCGATTTCCTGGATCGGCTTATAAATTTTTCTTTTTTTGGGTAAAAGACAAAAAAGAGAACTCAAAAGCCCCAGCCCCCACAAGTCCGTCCACTTTACAAAGTCGGCCGTCGACAGGCGCTTGCTGAACGGGCCGCCGGCGGCCCCCGCTCGGGGCGGCCCCGAGCCCCCCAGTGCATCTGCGGGAGCCCCACGCGCCTTTAAAGCACCCGCGCTCGCACCCCCGCCCCCGGCCGGCCCCTGCGCCCCGCGCGGCGCCCCTTTCCGGTCAGCGAGGGGCGGGGGTGCGCGAGGGTGGGGGCGCGGGCCCGGCGCGGGTTTGGGTCGCCGTTTCCTGGTGCCGCGATCCCGTCCCCTCCTCGCCCGCGCCTGGCTCCTCCCTCTCGGCGCGGATGACACTAGAACCTCCTTAAGTTGCGTCGCGCCACAGCTGTCTGCGAGCACTGAGCTGCCTGGCGCCGTCTTGATACTCGGAGAAAGAATGCATTCCCTGTAAAAAAACGCCCCGGCCCGCCAGCCAGCCCCCGCCGCCCGCCGCCCGCCGGCCCGCGCCGCTCCGGGCTGCCCAGGTGGGTGCCGTGCCGGCCACCGCCCGCCCCTGCCCCGGCGCCTCCCGGCCCTGCGCGCCCGGGGGAGACGTGCTGGGAAGGGCTTAGGACGGGGGTCCCGGACAGAGCGTCCGTGTGGCCTCGGTGTTGGGCTCCGGGGGGAGCCGCAGGGGCGCGGGAGGCGCGCGCGCGTGTCCCCCGCCCCCCGTGCGGCCGGAGGGAGGAGGTGGTGCCACTCGGGGGAACTCAGGTGCGCGGGTACTTAGGCGCTCACCGGCGTCTCGCCTTCTCTCCTTTGCAGGTGAGCCGGCTCCCCAAGCCTGCATCCCGCTCCTGGCGGCCGGGACCCCCTTTTGATTCGTCAGTGCCTCTCTATGTTTTGGGAATTTATTTCTTCTTCTTCTTTTTCTTCTTCTTCTTTTTTATTTTTCTTTTTTTGCTAGACGACCTTTCCTTCAAAAGTTAATTTTTTTGGCTTTTTTAAAATAACAACCTCACTTGCTCACCCGCCCGTCCGCCCGCACGCCCCGCGCCCCGCGGCCGGCGGCAGCACCTGCAGCGCCCCGGAGACCCCCGCGCCCCCCAGGGCCATGGAGGTGACGGCGGACCAGCCTCGCTGGGTGAGCCACCACCACCCGGCCGTGCTCAATGGGCAGCACCCGGACTCGCACCACCCCGGCCTCGGCCACTCCTACATGGACCCGGCGCAGTACCCGCTGCCCGAAGAGGTGGACGTGCTCTTCAACATCGACGGCCAAGGCAACCACGTCCCGTCCTACTACGGGAACTCAGTGCGCGCCACGGTGCAGCGCTACCCGCCGGCCCACCACGGTGAGTGCGGGGACCCCGCGCGGGGACGCGGGAGGGAGGCCCGGGGGCCGGTGCTGGTTCATTTAAAAAAAAAAAGAAGAAGACGAAGAAAAAGAAAAACTGGGGCCCGGAAGTGGGCGAGGGAGCTTTCGTCGGTCGGGTCGGGAGTGTTTTTTTTTTCTTTTTCTGCAAACAGCCTCCGCAGGCACCTCTGGGCTGCGGGGGCCACCCCGCTCCAGCGGGCACGCACCTGGCGGCCAGGTCCCAGCTCGGACTCAGTTCCTCCAAAGGGCCCCGCTGATCCCCGAACCTCTTGCAGGGAGACCCAGCTACCTCCGTGGGTGTCTCCTGCCCGCTTCCAGAAAGGCCCCCGAGAGGCGCATTTTTTTGAGGATTGTTATTTATTAGTATTTTTGGCTCCTCTGTCTCCGAACCTCCGGCCGGAGCTTATGTGTTTGGGGACCAGGTCTGCTCCCCCTCAACTTTGCCTTTGCCGAGTGGGGTCCTGCCAAGCGAGGGCTCCGCGGTGAGGGCCAGGGCTGCGGGGCTCGCCAGCCCGGCTGCACAGAATTTCCCGGCCGTGGCCCGCAGGCCTCCTTGGGCGCCTCTGCTCGGCCTAGCCCAGGCATCCGGAGGAATCGCTAGCGGGTGCCTAGGAGCCTTTCCCAGTGGTCTTTCTGTTGTTGTCTTCTTTTTCTTTCTTTCTCTTTCACCTTGAGGAGTTTCGAGAGTTTAGAAATGTTAAAAAGAAAGTTTGCCCGGAGGTAATGTGGGGTGGTGGAGGCAGAATCAATCCCGCTGGAATCTGGAGCCTCTGAAGAAACGGCAACGACTGTTTCTGGGACTGGAGCCGCAGGAGACAGTCTCAGTGACCCTGTCCTCAGCTGAGGACAGACCCTCGGCCGCTGTCGCTGCGTGGAGACAATTGTTTCTGCTCGCTGCCCGAGTTCTCTGCAGATGCAGAGCCGAATGGAAGGCGGTGGATGCAGGCTTCATATTATTTACTAAACTACTTCCTGCATACTGCGAATCTTGACCCAGGCTTCAGAGAGCTCTCCTTCCCCCCTCTGCCCTCCCCTTCCTCTCTCTCTCCCTCTCTCTCTTTCTCTCAATTTTGGTTTCAGTATTGTTTTTAATGGTTAAATGAACTGGCAAAGGCAGGGCAGCCCGAGAGCAGATCAATAAGGCGAGGATCTGCCCGGCAGTTTGAGCTGTGCGGCTCCCAGGACCCCAGGGCCTGAGCCGGGCCGAGCTCATTCCTGAAAATGAATGGCCGTGTAGCGTGTGGCGCAGGCAGGGGAGAGCCGGCACCCCGGTGCCCCCCGTTCAGGTGAAAATTTACCTTTTGTTGTTGCTTTACCACTGGTGGAATCACAACTCAGTGGCATTTGGGACTGATTTCAATTTCTTCTCATGGAGAACGTGGTTAGGCCAAAAAAGGCGGAAAACCCCCACAACCTAACGAGGAAAATTCCCTTAGCAAATGCCACCGCAGGCCTTGGAAAGGGATGGGGCAGAGCACTGACATCTCCTCTCCCGGGCAGGGCCCCGCTGAAGCCGGGGTCTTCCCAGCGGGGAGCAGCCTCGCAGCAGCCATATCCCCACTTCGGACCCCATCATTCACGGCCTGGGCTCTTATCAGCTGGGATGAAGTCTGGGACCGGGAAGCTGGGTCACTGAAGGAAGCCAATAAATCAAGCTCATTTGGGACAGGGGAGGGTGTGATTCAGAAAGTGCGTCTGGAGAGTCTGAATAGGCCCCTAAGGCCTTACCCAGGCACTGGCCCCTGTGGAGGGGATGGGGTGGCAAGAGGGAGGTGAAGAGTGCCCTGGGCTAGGATTCAACGATCTTGTCTGCACGGGAGGTGAGGCGCGGGAGGTGAGGCGCGGGAGGTGAGGCTCGGAGGAGACGGAGGAGACGCCTGGTCCTGGTCCCGCTCACCTGCCCGCCCCTCTCCTGCCCGCAGGAAGCCAGGTCTGCCGCCCCCCGCTGCTGCATGGATCCCTGCCCTGGCTGGACGGGGGCAAGGCCCTGGGCAGCCACCACAGCGCCTCGCCCTGGAACCTCAGTCCCTTCTCCAAGACGTCCATCCACCACGGCTCCCCAGGGCCCCTATCCGTGTACCCGCCGGCCTCATCCTCCTCGCTGTCTGCCGGCCACTCCAGCCCTCACCTCTTCACCTTCCCGCCCACCCCACCCAAGGACGTGTCCCCGGACCCCGCGCTGTCGACGCCGGGTGCGGGCGGTGCGGGCCGGCCGGAGGAGAAGGAGTGCATCAAGTACCAGGTGCCGCTGCCCGACAGCATGAAGCTGGAGTCCTCGCACCCGCGGGCAGCGGGCATGGCCGCCCTGGGGGGCGCCGCCACCTCGGCCCACCACCCCATCACCTCCTACCCACCCTATGTGCCGGAGTACAGCTCGGGACTGTTCCCCCCCAGCAGCCTGCTCGGGGGCTCCCCCACTGGCTTCGGCTGCAAGTCCAGGCCCAAGGCGCGATCCAGCACAGGTAAGCGCAGCTGGACCCTGGGGGTTCTGAGCGCCCACCTCCTCCCCCGCTTCTGAGCAGCACAGTAAAGCCATGACAGTTATCCCTGCTGGATGGGCAGGGAAATGGGCAGAGGAGCCCATCCAGGCTCTCCTGCCCACCCCCAGGGCTGCCTCCCCCCCCCCCCGCCCCCCCCCGCCCCGGGATGCAGGAGTGAGGGAGGGCATCGGTCTGAAACGAAACCTGGGCCGAGACTACTGCGGGCCTCCACTCTTGGGCCTTGGGATGTTCTCTGGGCTCTGCTCACCAGAGGTGCCCACCTTTGTCAGCTGTCCAGCCATCAAGGGCAGGGTTTGGGCATATGTTTTCGGGGCACGGGAGGTTGGCCAAAGCTGACTCCTATTTCTGGGCTGTAGAGGGGGGCTCTCGACTGCCTCCTGGGGAGGGGCTGTGCGGAGGGAAGGTAACAATTGGAAAAGGAGCAGGTGGCCCCTGGCCGCAGGAGCTACCCCCTGGCTTTCGGGCTCTTCCAGGCCAGGCGGGGGTCCTGGCTGGGGCCTGGCCTGGGCCTGGCCCTGCACCCGCGGAGCTGGAGGGGTAACATAAAGGCCTGCAGAGATTTTCCGTTTCAGGGGTGTGTCTCTTCTCTGGGCTTCTCCGCTCAGCCTGTTGTCCAAGAAAGAAAGAGAAAAGGGCTCTGAGCAGAGTACGCGCGCGCCCACGCCCACACCTGGCTTCTGGCTCTCAGAGCAGAGGTGCTGTTTCTAACGGAAGCAGGGGCGAGAGGGGGTGGGAGTCCCCAGGGACCGGCGAGAGCGAGAGCGACCCTCGGCCCTGAAAGCTCCGTTCCTCGCTGGAGCCGGAGCCGGACTGGCCCTGCCCGCTTTGGGCGCCGCCCGTGGAGGGAGGCCCGGCCGGCTGACCGGCCATGAGATCAGTTTTCAGGTTTTTCCCCGTGACATTCACCCCGCTGCCTGTGCAGGACTGTCTCTATTTAGCTGATATGTTTTAGCTAATCCAATTATTTTCAGACTGCCGCACGCGACAGTCGCATTGTTTATCCCGGGCCAGGAACTCTAATAGAGTCCGGATGCGGTTAGGCTCAGAGCTGCCCTGAGCTACAGCAGCAGCGGGAGAGGGGGCGGCTCTGGGGAGGAGGGGGCAGCCGCCCCTGCCCTGGGGCAGAGCCGGGGGTGTAGGTCACCTCGGGATGGCTGGTGTTTTTTTTTTTTTAAGTTCTTCCTTCTGGGTGTTTGATTCAGGCTGGGGGCAGGTCTCCTTGCTGAGGCCAGCCTGGTGGTTTGGGGGTGTGCAGAGGGGGACAGCCCTTCGGGGCTGCAGCTCTCTCCTCCGGGCTCCCCTGGGGCCTGATCTCCATGTGGTGGGGCAGGGGCTGTGGTTTCCTGAACCCCTAGGGAGTAATTTCATTTCAGGTTTTATTGGGGTGGGGTAGAGGGGAGAGAGGAGAGAGGATTTAAAGTGGGATTTTAACTTCCTCCTTTTACGTTTCTCACAGGGGCCCCTCACCCCGCAGAGTAAACCTATCAGCCCCCCCCACCCCTCTCCGGGCACTGGGGCCCTGGGACCCTAAGAACTTTCCAGAAGCCTCTGTCTGAGCGGGATGGGGGGGGAAGGGTTCTCTGGGCTTGAGCGGGTGTTTTTAACCTCTCTGCAAAGGTCTTGGTGAGAAGAGAGGCTGGGGCCCAGAGACAGTTGCAGCTGTGGTTCAGCCTCCTCTGCCAGCCTCATTCAGGGCGCTAATGCTGGTGCTGGGTGCTGGGTGCTGGGTGCTGGTGCTGGGTGCTAACCCAGAGCCAGGTCCGCAACAGACATCAGAGCCCTATTCCAAGGGGCCTTTGTGTGGCCTCACCTCCTCTGGGCTTCCTCTGGGTCAGGGCATCTGCACAGCCCCTGGCTCCCTCCCCTTGTGCACTGGGCACTGCTAGGTGCCCGGGTCCTGCGGCCTGGGAGAGGCAGGAGGGAGAGGCAGGACTCACTCCCTGCGCCTCTGAAGGTTGGCGAGAGGCCAGGGAAGAAAATGCCAAAGCGCAGAAAGCCCCCACCCCCACTCACCCCACCACCCACCCTCCCCCTCCCTGGCACCTGGGCAGCCCCAGCCTCCACCAGGGGACGTCCTGGGGAGCTTTCTGTCCCTTTGAAACGGAAGCTGTGACCTCCCCCGCTGCCAGGCGGCCAGGAGAGGAAATCAGACTCAGCGTCAGACTGGGGCATCCCCCAGCTCCGAGGCCCCTTCCTCCCCCTTCCGCCCCTTCCTCCCGGGAGCTGCCACCTACCTCCCCCGCTGGGCTCCTGCCTGGGGCCACGCTCTCCCGCATCCCCAAGGGCAGGTGACCTCCCCCATGGGCTCCTGCCTGGGGCCATTCTCTCCTGCATCCCCCAGGGCAGGTGTCCTGGTTCCCAGAGGGCCGTGGGTGACAGTGGCCAGTGCCCTCCCCGGCCAGCCCAGCTCTCCTGGTGCTTTTCGGTTGGTGGAGGGGACTCCTGGGGACACACAGACCCTCAAGCTCTGCCTTATGCCCCCCAGCCTGTATGGTGACCCCTTGGGGTCCCTCCCTCAGTGCCCCCGTACTGTAGGGTCCCCAAGTCCCCCCCCCCCCCGCCCGCCCCAGCTGCCCTGCCTCCTGGCCTCTGGGCTGAGCTGGTTCCTGGTTGAGCATTTTGCCTCTGAAACAAAGTGCCCTCACTGGGGTGCGAGGGGCGCCTCTCACCCCTCCTCCAGATGCTGCCGCAAACTGGGGGGCTCACCCCATTCTCCTCTTCCTCCTCCTCCTCCTCCTCCTCCTCCTCCTCCTCCCTCCAAGGCAGGAGTCGCATATGTTCTGAACCTTCTTTCCAGAAGCTGCTGGCCTGGCCTACGCGGCTCCAACCTGGCCTGGCCGGTTTGCTGTTTGTTTTGTTTGTTTGTTTTTTGGAAAAAGAGAGAAGGCAGTCTGGCTGTCTGGCTGTGGCCCCCTCCCTTGTCCTGGGCCCTTAGGGGGCCCTTCTCTCTGGAACCCCCCCACTCCAGGACCCTCCAGGGCCATCTCATACTCATAGATCTCCTGGTTTCTGCCTTGAAAAGTCAAGGAAACTGGTTGTGGGGGCAGCGAGGCTCTGCCAGGCCCCGAACGCTGCCAGCCTGGAACATGTACAATTTTATTGGAAGTAAAATCCAGAGTCCTCGATGCCAGAGTCAATCAGCCAATCGATCAATGCCTTTGGCTACTGGGTATCTGTGATTGGGGCAATCACCCCGCTTCCTCCCCTCCTCAGCTCTCAGACTCCCCTTTGTCTTCCTTTGTGGGGGAAATGGATGCAGGGCTGGGATATGCCTCAGGGCGGCCAACCTGCTAGGTGTCATTTCAAGTCCCCCAAAATTCTCTTCTTCCCTGGCCAGCGCCTCTCCTCTGCCCTGTCAGAATCTTGGCGGGGAACAGGCTCTCCACCTCCCTGCCCCTACCCCCTCCCACCACAGGGTCTGGAGGGGACAACTGGTGGCCTCGGAGGTCCCTGCAAGGAGCAGCCATGCCTTCCCTCCGCTCTTCCTCACCGAGTTTCGTCTTGTTTCTAGAAGGCCGGGAGTGCGTGAACTGTGGGGCCACGTCCACCCCGCTCTGGCGGCGAGACGGAACCGGCCACTACCTGTGCAATGCCTGCGGCCTCTACCACAAGATGAACGGGCAGAACCGGCCCCTCATCAAACCCAAGCGGAGACTGGTGAGTCCTGGGACAGGGCTGGGGGACTTGGCGCTCGCGGGCAGGCCATGAGGGACATGCTTCCTCTCCCTCTATCTACTCCCCAGTTGGCCAGATAGAAACACACAGACACACATGCACACTCACACACGCAGACGCGCACGCGCGCACACACACACAGGCACACACACTCTTCTCTCTGTTGCTCTCTGTCTCTGTCTCTGTCTCTCTGTGTCTCTGTCTTTCTCCCCCTCCTCTCTCTCCCTTCCTGAGTGCTTTGGTCCCTCAGTGCCTGTAAGAATGGAACCTGGGTCTGGAAGGGGATTTGAGACCGGGACAAGAGATGCATTGATCTTTCCTGTGGGTGGAGGAGGGAATGTTCCAGACACATCCAGAACCTGCACATTTCCAGTTGCCTGGTGCTGGCCTGCAGCTGGACGGGGCCCAGGAGGGATTTTCTCTGTGCCTGGTTCACTGGCCCCTTCTCAGACTCCTAGCTCGCAGATGTATCTGGCCAGCCCCGGGTCTTGCTTTCCTTGTGAGCCACTCGGAAGCTTTCACCAACCCCTCCTCTTTCTTCTGGAAACACCCGGAGCCTGTGCACCACAGGGCAATTCCCTCCTCCCCCCATGTCCTAGCCTTGGGAGCTGGGGGCAGCTGAATTGCAAGTGTAAGTGGCCAGGACAAGTCAAAGCAGCCTTGGCCGATACAGCCCTAGTTCAGTGAGATCAAAAACACCCTCTTTTCTGGTGATGATGAACAATCCTGGAACCCGCCCCCAGCATCCATGGGGACTCAGTGCCCTCCAGCCCCGGGGGCGGCAGTAAGACAGATCCTCCAGGCTCTCAGCAGAGAATTCCCTCAGCAGAGCCCTTTCCTTGCTGGGATGCCAGGGTCGCATGGCTCGGCTGCCTCTTTCTGATCTTCGCCCCTTCTCCAACTTTCTCCACCGCCCCCCGCCAGCCTCTTGCAGCTTGGCATTCCCCCCCCCCCCCACACACACACACCACACACACACACACACACACCCTTTTCTCTCATGTGCGAAGCTGACTTCCTAGGAAAAAGCTGCCGGATATCTGAGCCCTGGAGATAACTCATAAACAGCGACTCGGCTTTCCCAACCTAAACATCGAGATGTTTGAACGTATCAGAACAAGAAGTGTTAAAAAAAAATGGCTGGAGGTGTTAGCACAGAATGAGTATGATTGCACCACAAAAGAATGTTCTGAATCATTCAGAACCTGGCCTTCGTGAGGGGGAAGAAGGAGAAAAGAAAAGGGGGGGGGGTGGAATGGAAGAAAATTAGGAACCCAAAGCCTCTTGCTGGAGTAAGATACGATGCCCCTGGCCTTGGTCTCTTAGTGTCTGTTTGGGTTTGGGGCCACGCTTGGTGGTGCTCAGGGGTGACTCCCGGCTCTGTGCTCAAGGTCACTCCTGGGGGAACCGATGGGGAGCAGTAAGGCCAGCGCCTCAGTCGCTGCACTACGGCTGGTCTCTCAGGCAAAGACAAGGACGCGGGCAGGTGGGAGGAGGCGAGGCTTGGCTTGACTGGGGGCTGCGCCACCCGCTGGCCTCATGCCCCTCTCCTTCCTTGGGCTGCGCATTCTCTGCTCTTCTCCTTCTGACTCCTCTGTCTCTGGAGCAGGGTTTTATGTCCGGTTGCCGAGAACTGTTAGCTCCCCTGGCCTCCAGGAGCTCATGCAATAGCTGAGGTTTTCAGCCCTAAGGGGCCTCTGAGTCTGGCGGGGGTGGAGTTGGGTGGTTGGACATGGTTCCTTGTGGGGGCGCCCAGCACTCTCCTCTGGCCCAGGGGGGATCCCGCTCTGATGTGGCCAGGGCTGGGGGTGTCTGGCGGTGGGCAGAGGGAGCTTCCTGAGCTCTGCGGGTGGATGTTCCTGAGGTGACTATGAGAGGGGGCCACCTATCTGCAGGTGCAGAGCTGCTGGGCTGGGAGGGGTCCCAGTGGCCAGGTCACAGGATGCGAGGGTCCCTGAGCCTGCAGAGAGGGGCTCCCCACTCTGGAACTGGGCTGAGGCCCAGGACTTGTCAACAAGGGGAGGTCAAGGCTGGCTTTCATTTCTGTCCCCTCAAGACTCAGAGCATCCCGGGTTTCTGAGGAAACCCACAGTTCGAGCAGGAGGCAGGTGTGGCCTGTCTGGGGAGCGCTTGGGAACTGGGGGGTCTTTTCCAGCCAGAGCTCCATTTCTTCCGGGCCTGGCAGCTTTGGTTTTTACCTGTGTGTTAAGTTTTGGTTTGGGGGTCACACCCAGGGATACTCTGGGTTCACTCGTGGCGGTGCTGGGGGGACCCTATGGGATGCTGGGGATGGAACCCAGGTTGGCCACATGCCAGGCAGACGCCCTTCCCGCTGTGCTATCACCCTGGCCTGTCTCTGGCAGCTTTGGGGGCCCAGACCAACTGTGTGTGCCCCCCAGCAGGCCGGGAGAGCCCTGGGGAGCCGCAGTGAGCACTGAGCACAGCTCCAGGATCTCTCTGATGCCAGAGCAAACCTTGAGGTCTCTTCCTCAATCCCAGGCCTTGGGGGAGTCACCCGGGAATGTTTTAGCTGTTAAGTGTTTTTTTTTTTCTTCTCCTTAATTCCATTTTCTTTCAACAAGTTTAGTTCAACAACTAAAAGGGTCCCATTTAGTCAGGATGCTGTAGAATGAGGCTGACCTTTGACCCGCCTCAGCCAGCTCAGTGAATAGCCAATAAGGAGACCTTGAGGGGCAGGGAGGGGGGAGGGGCGGAGGACGAGGGGCTTGTTCATCTTCAGTTTGACTCATGAGCTGGGAGCCTCATCCCGGGACTGGGACCCCAGGTTGCTGAGCCGGGGCACCCTGGAAAATTATTTTCCTTCCCTTCTGTCCCTCCCTCCCCCTTCCTCTTCTTCTTCCTCCTCTTCCTCTTCTCCCAGGGAATCCCTGGGGGCCTCTGAGCCTCCCCCTGGAGGTACTTAGGGGGGACTGTCTGATGCCGGGGATCAAACCCGGAGTTGCTGCCATGTGCGGCTGCACACCGCCTTGGGACCAGCTGCCCACCTGGGACACTGATCGCCTTGCCTGCTGCATTGTGAAAGGGCTGGGGCAGGTCTGCAGCAGGGGTTGCGCCCCTCAGATCAGTCTGGCCTGTCAGCGGGATTTTTCACGAGGGCGGGCAGGTGGGCGGGCTGGCAGCTTCTGCTGGGACAGGGGCTGGGTCCTCAGCCACCCCCCCCACCACCCCCGCCAGGCACTTACTCTCATTTCCCTCTGGGGGCTCTGAGCGGCTGCCCCTTCCCACCCGTAGTTCATTTGCTTTGTAAAATGGTTTAGACTTGTCTCTCAGCACGAGAAACACTGCTAACAAGGGCCCGGGCCCCCCTCTCTCCCGCAGTCTGCAGCCAGAAGGGCGGGTACGTCCTGCGCCAACTGCCAGACCACCACCACCACGCTCTGGAGGAGGAACGCCAACGGGGACCCGGTGTGTAACGCTTGCGGCCTCTACTACAAGCTGCACAATGTAAGTGTCGCGCCTGTCCCCGAGCAGGGGCTCTGTGGAGCCGGGGCACCCCATACCGCCCCGTTGGTGCAGCTGGCCTGGCCCGTGAGGACGGGACTCGGACCTGTGCCAGCGACCTACAGCCTCTTTCCACTAGTGGGCGAGGGGGAGGAGAGAAGGGGCTTCTTCACGGACTCCTGCAGGTGCGGAGCTGGTGGGGCCAGAGCCCGGGACTGTCCAGGGAGTCCGGGAGCCAGAACCTGAGGTGGGGCGTCCATGGGCCCCTGGGGCACTGCGGGGCACCTCTGTCTTTCCTGCAGCCAAGGCCGCCCGCGGCACTGTCCACTCGGGCTGGAGTGAGCGGTGTCGCTTCACATCTGTTTACTTGGGGTCCACCTGCTTTCTGAGGCCCACTCTGGCTGACCGGCCACTCCCCCAGCCAGGCCCTCGGTGTGGGCCTGACCAGACATCTGTGCGCCCCTGACCTGGCAACAGTAGTGTTTCCAGAACCTGGCTCGGGCCTATTCTGGCCTCACTCCTGCCTTTCCTGGGGGTACGTGGGGGCAGGGGGAGTGTGTGCCTGGAGGTCTGGGGTCACCTCCTCTCTCCTGCAGGGTCACCCAGTATAGGGAGCCCCGGCCCCCAGTCTGCGGGGTGGACCCTCTTCCCCACTCCCTCAAGGTGCCCAGTGCCAGCAGGCCCGGCTGCTGGGTCCACCTCTTCCCAGCAGAACCCCCCCGCCCTGTGTCCAGCTCTCGCTTGTCCATGGTAGCGGAGATGAACCGGTTTGGGCTTTGAAGCTGGCTGTGAGAGGCCGCCGGAGTCTGAGCTGCCCCGTTGCGGGCTGGATGGTCCTCAGGCCTGTGCTTCCCAGGGAGGCCCTGGTGGCCGGCGTGAGGCCCAGAAGCCGGTGTCTGTGTTTCCAGCTCCTGTGAAAAAACAAGGGCTCCTAGAAGAGGGTCATGGCACCCTGTGGCAGGGAGAAGCCGGGGACTGTCCAGTGGCCAGTGGACACGGAGGGGACGGGAGCGCTGGTGTTTCAGAACAGGCCCGGGGAATGTTCTCTTGGGCGTCGTGTGGGCTGGGCTCTGGCTGCTCCTACAGGGGATGGGCTGGAGGGGCAGTGCCAGCTGTCGACTTTGGGGTGATTCAACCCCAGTGACAGAGAAGCTCCATTCTGTCTGATTGAAACAACAACAACAACAACAACAACCCTCCAAAGACAATGAATTTCTCATTGATCCCGGAGATGCCACGGGCCCCTGCGACCTCCTCAGCCCCAGCTTCCTCACCCACCGGCTCTGTGTTTGTGGCTGGCTCCAGTAGGGAAGCAGTCGTTCCTCTCCACAGTGGGGACCCTGGGCAGGGGAGAACCCTGATGCAGGCCCTGGGGCACTTCCTTCCTGTCTCAGTCCCAGTCACCCCCCTTTGGGTGGGGGGCCGGGCGGTGCGGGGACAGTGGCCAGAGAGTCTCGGCAGACCTCTGCGGCTCAGCCTGAGGGGCGGCTGTCCAGATGGCCGGGCTTGGTGTGGGCTCGGTCCCTGTCGCCTCCCTTTGCCGGACATGGTGGTGGCTTGGCGGTGACCCTGGGGCGTCTGTCTCGAAGCCTGCCTGGGGTCTGGCTCCTGTTGGGCGCCCCTGCCTCAGGCAGCCGCCCCCTTGCTGTGGGCTCCCAGTTTTTAACTCTCGCAGTGAGTGAGCCAGATGGTGGTGGCACCTCCCCTGCCTGTGTCTCCCCTGAGGGTTAGGATGGTGGACCCGACTTTCCCTTTTGGGAGATGTTTCCCTGCAGCCGGCCTGCCCAGGTGGTGCCTGCCCCCCATGCACCTGGGCAGTGGGGTCTGCTCCGAGGTGGCAGCCCCCTCTTTGCTCCCAGGCCCCGACTCAGCTGCATTTTTGCAATAAGATGAAGAAGAGTGGGCTGGCGGGCGCGGGCTCCCAAGCTGAGGCTGGTGCCCCTGACTGTTTCATTTCCGGGTCATTTGCAGGGTGGGCACCTTCTTCCTACCCAGGCTTTGCCCAGACCCCCTTACCAGCGACTGGACCTGGAGTTGTGGTTCTGGTTAGAGCTGGAGAACAGAACTGGGAGGACTTGGCCCCCGCAACTCCAGCCACCCTGGGACATGGGCCGGAGTTTTCCTGCAGTTTTCCCCTGCGAGCCCCCCTCCTTGGGACCCCGAGTCCCGGCCCGGCTGTGTGTGTGTCTCTCAGTGCTCAAGCACTTGCCTTGCACGCAGGAACCAGTGTTTGACCGATCCTGCACCCCTCGCTCCCCGAAAAGCCAAAGCAGCCCAATACTGACCTCGAAACACAGATTAAAGGGGGACATTTTCCAACAGCTTTCACAGCACCCACGTCTGGGCGAGGGAACTAGATTGACCTGGGCCAGGGATGGGCCTTTTGCAGACAGACAGACAGACAGACAGACAGACGCCAACATTTCCAGTTGCCTGGAAAGTGTCTGCCTATGTGTCAGAGGAATAGTGACCCCCTGCCTGCCTCTGTTCAGGGTCCCTCAGCACCTTGTGCTCATGAAATGTACAGGGGAAACTCTCAAGAAGAGGCGCTCTTGGGTGCCCGCCCCCTGACATTCTTTCTGGGGGACTCCAGAATATGCCTCGTGCCCCGCGCCCGCCCTCCCTCCCTCCCTCCCTTCCTTCCTTCCTTCCTTCCTTCCTTCCTTCCTTCCTTCCTTCCTTTGTTCCTTTCTCCCTCTCTCTTTCTTTCTCTCTCTCTTTTTTTCTTTCTGCATTCAACCACTTCATTTTATTTTATTTGGCTTTCTGGCGATGCTCAGGGCTTCCTCCTGTCTCTGCACTCAGGAATGACAATCCTGGTGGTGCTTGGGGGACTCTATGGAATGCTCGGATTCAAACCTGGGTTGGTTGCGTATAAGGGAAATGCTCTCCCCGCTGTGCGATCTCTCCGGCCTCTGGGCTCTTGGCTTCTGAATCTGATTGGGTGGGCAGAAGCCCACCGAAGCCAGAGCCCTGACAGGACTGAGGGTCCTGGGAGGGAGAGCAGCCGAGGTGGGGGCACGTGTGGCCTTGGAAAGCAGACGTCTGCCCAGGATGGAGGCGCGGCAGCTCAGAGCCGGCCAACAAAAGTAAAAAAAAAAAAAATTGATCTTTGTTTAGATTAACAGACCCCTGACCATGAAGAAGGAAGGCATCCAGACCCGGAACCGGAAGATGTCTAGCAAGTCGAAAAAGTGCAAGAAGGTCCACGAGACGCTGGACGAGTTCCCCAAGAGCAGCTCCTTCAACCCCGCCGCCCTGTCGAGACACATGTCCTCTCTCAGCCACATCTCCCCCTTCAGCCACTCCAGCCACATGCTGACCACGCCCACGCCCATGCACCCCCCGGCCAGCCTCTCCTTCGCGCCTCACCACCCTTCCAGCATGGTGACCGCCATGGGCTAGGGCCCGGCCCCGCCAGCCCCCGCCCGCGTGTGCGTCTGCAGGAGCAAGAATCATGAAGCCGAGAAGGACAGGGCTGTGGCAGGGCAGAGGCAGAGGAGGCTCGCAGCGTGGGGGTCCGCTCTCGCTCGCCATCCTGGATTCCATTGTGAATAAGCCATTCAGACTCACTCCCTACCAAACAGGGTTCTAGTGCTGTGAAAGTAAACCTGAGCGTCGCATAGAACTTACACTGTAAGGAACACTGTACATTTGAACAGGACTTCGTTGCATCTGGGTAGCTGGGAAGAAAGGCGTGAAGGACTGCTGAGAATTTTATGAATTCTGGGGGGAAATGAAGTGGGGGGAAACAAGAAACAAGGTCTGATAGCCAAATGGACAAACTGCCAGTTGGGCTTTCTTACACTGGTCATGATGGTTTGATGCATTAAAGGCAAAAAGTACAAACAAACGTAAAAAAAAAAAAAAACAAAAAAGACAGAAAAAAAGCCAACAAAAAAAAAGCAAGAAAAAAAAGCAAAAAAACAAAAAAAATTAAAATAAAAAAGAAGAGTTATAGGCAAATCATTTGTTCTGAGCTGGGGGGGGGAATTCTCAGTTCTGGGGTTCTGGGCAATTGGCTTTCCAGGACCCCCCCAACCCTGCCCCCCGCTCTGTGAACAGAACCCTGTAATTGTTTGTATGTATAATTCAAAACTCCCAGATAAGCAGAGATGTAGATTTATTTCATCATATTATACAGACTGAATTGTTGTACAAATTTATTTACTGCTAGTGTTAAGAGCGGCTTTTTTTGGTTTTGTTTTGTTTTTGTTTTAATATTTTCTTTCTCTCTCAAGTTTGGGTTAAATAAAACTAGAAGGCATTCCTCGACTGAAGATGGCTGTGCTCCTGAGGGATTCTGTTCTACTTTGTTTTCGGATGATATTTATTAAATAGCTTCTAAGGGAACGCAGTGTCTGTGTGTCTCTCTCGCGCGCCCGGCCCACCCGGCTGCTGCATGATGGTGCTCTACAGCCGGCAGAGAGATGCGTCCATGCGGAGAGGGAACCCGTCCTTCTAGGTAACCCAAGAAAAAGGTATTTCCTGGCTTCAGCAGTTCCCCGCCGTGGGCTTGGGGAACAGGGCATCTTCCGATGGATCTCCTTGGAAGCCCCAGGAGCCAGTAGGAATAGCCAGTGGGCTGCTGGGAGGAGAGGGACAGGTTTGGGTCGAGCCACAGGTGAGGCGGCTGAGGGTGGGGTGGGCCAGGGCGCCAATGGCAGTTGGGTGCTGCCCCTTTTCACCTTTGCTCACACTAGTGCTGAATGAACCCACAGCCCAGGCACCATTCACTGGAGCGTTTGCGAACAAAGAAGTGCTTGGGTTCTAACTAAGCCTGTCCCAGTTTCCCAGTTCCTTCCTTGCTGTTGTCATTGTGTCGCCCGGTCATTTATCCATTGTGGCCTTGTGGCCTCGGCCTCCTGAGCAAAGGTGTTTTTTTTTTTTCGGCTGTTGTTTTTTTTGTTTGTTTTTATTTGGGAGGTGGGGATACCTGGTGGTGTTCAGGGGACCATATGGGATCCCGGGGATTGAACCCATGTCGGCCTCTGGCATGCAAGTGCCCCTCCCTGCTGTGCTGTCGCTCTGGGCGTCCCCCACCCCCCAGCAAACAGCTTAACTCTCACACTCCACACTGAAATAAGGGAGCAGAGAATGAGCGAGCTGCAGCAGGCATCTTCCTGGCTCGAGTTTGCCCTCTGCCCTGAGTCCCAGCTCAGTTGCCCCTCGCCCCCTGACTGGAGCTCCCCACGGCCACGTTCACCCCAGGACGTTTGACTAGTCTCAGCCTCTCAGCGTGGACTGGTTCTCTGTTCGCCCACAGGTTGAGTGACGCCCTTTCACCTCCAGACCAGGGAGTTCACATTCTTGACATTCTCGGGGTGGGAGGCCAGAGAAAACTCCCCAAGTCAGTCCTGAAACTGTGGGGCGTCTAAGGGCTCGCGGCTCGTGTGTCCCTGCTGAGTCCCGGGCAAACATCATCTCATCACTCAGGTCGAGTGAAGCGCCGGCATTTCTAGAAGACCTTGTGGGAGGTTTAAACTGCAGACGGCAGGTGGGCTGGAGCAATAGCACAGCAGGTAGGGCATTTGCCTTGCACACAGCCAACCCGGGTTTGATTCCCAAAATCCCATATGGTCCCCGAGCACCGCCAGGGGTAATTCCTGAGTGCAGAGCTAGGAGTAACCCCTGTGCATCGCCAGGTGTGACCCAAAAAAGCAAAATAATAATAATAATAAAAATAAAATAAAAATAAACTGCAGACGGCAATACTGACAATTCCATTTCTTCAGGGTGCTCTAGGTTTACATGGTTTGTTCTTTCTTTTGCTGTCGTGGGAAAGCGGGGCACACAGAAGACAAAGAAGGCTTTTAGGGGAAACAGCGCCCGAGTGTAGTGTCACTCAGCTCCCCCTTTAAAAAATTTTTTTTTAATTGAATCACCATGAGATAGACCCTTACAAAGTTGTTCATAGTCGGGTTTCTGTCATACAGTGTTCCAACACCGGTCCCTCCCGCAGTGTACATTTCCCAGCACCAGTGTCCCCAGGTTCCCTCCCATCACCCCTCACCCCACCCCCTCCTGCCTCTATGGCAGGTGCTTTCTCTCTCTCTCTCTCTCTCTCTCTCTCTCTCTCTCTCTCTCTCTCTCCTTCCTTTCGGAAACAAGTTTGCTGGGTCACCCATGAGACATCCCTTGGGAGAGATACGTGCAAGACGAGTGATGAAAGACATTTTATTTTTTTTTTTTATTTGGAAATAGGCTTACTGAAAAGTAGAAGAGAAGGAAACTCCCCAGCTGGAAAAGAGCTTAGCTTCGGACTCAGTTCTCAGACATCTGAACAGCTGATGGTTCAGAGACTCAGTGATGCAGTTTTCGGCGGTTTGTTCCGCTCTTTGCCAGTGCTCCTTCCAGCGGGTGTGCTCGAGTCAGACCTGAGATTTAGAAGCACGACCAGAAAGAGAGAGACTGAGATGCGATGTCTCTTTCCTCCTTACTTGCTCGGTGGCATTTGCCTGGTACTTCCCTCGAGAGAGCTCCGGGCTGTGCTCCCTAGGGGGCCTCTGGGGTGGGTGACCCCGGCCTGTGTTCTGTCATCAGCCTTCACGTTCTCAGCCTTTCTGAGGTTTGATGGCTTGATTGGTTGGTTTGGGGTCACACCTGGTGCTGTTCAGGGTTGACTCCTTGTCCCTGTGCTTGGGCAGAGCTCAGGAGACCACGGGGTGCTGGGGATCAGTCCTAGGGGGTCTCCCGTGCAAGGCAAGTGTTTTGTGGACTGTGAAATGATCTCCAAGCTTGGTCATATGGGCTTTACTTCAGAACATCCTCTCTGGACCCCTGAAGGACCCACTTACTCCCCCTCCTGCCAACACTAACAGACCCACAACAGGGAACAGGGAACAGATGGTTTCCACTGTGTGCCCAGCCTGACCCGGGGACCCGCCTGCAGCTCTGCCCCTGTGCGTCCGGGTGCCCCCCTCCTCACCCCAAGGCCCGCATCTTCTCCCCTCTGTGGACGCACGCCCTTGGAGCTGGGGGAAGTGGCACCTTCTCTCAGACAGACACCAGGAGGAAGAGGTCCCTTTGAAGCTGCGCCTCAAGTCCTCGTCCTCCCACCCTCCTGGCCGGGTCTAACCGTCAGCCTCACAGCTGAGCCCTGCCTGCACCCTCTCCTGTCAGGGTCCTCCCAGCCTGAGCGTCTGGGAGCCGTGTCACCTTGTGCCGGGACGAGGCCTGGGTTGCAGGGGTGGCACCCTGAGGAAGTGCCTCTGGAATGGGTCCAGAGTAGGCACTGGAGGGGCCCGTGAACATCCCCGGGACTGAAGGCAGACGGCGGGAGGCGAGTCTCTGCTGGGTTTCTTCGGGGCATGATCAGCAGAGAGGAGGTCTAAGCCCACAGAGAGGACGGAGATCCAGATTCTGTTCTTGGTTTTGCTTTTCATCAGCTTGGGACAGTGCTCGGTCTTAATCCTGCTCTGGCCTCTTCTTTTCTTTTTGGGTCACACCCAGCGATGTTCAGGAGTTATTCCTGGCTCTGCACTGAGGAATTACTCCTGGCGGTGCTCAGGGAACCGTATGGGATGCTGGGAATTGAACCCGGGTCAGCTGCGTGCAAAGCAAACAACCTCCCCGCTGTACTATTGCTCCAGCCCTTGGGGTGGGGAGTTTTGACCTCATGCCTTCTGCAGACTCCCTTTGACAAGGCTCCAGGCGGATGCCCCCAGCCCGACTTCACGGGACCCCCCACGTCTCTGCCTGGTGGGTGAAGAAGGAGCCCCTTGGTACTCTGCTCCCGGGGCAAACCAGGGCCGTGTGTGGGCTAGCCTGGGGCCTCCCTGGGTTGGGGGTGAGTGCCCCTGCCACGTTCTGCACCCGCCCACCTCCCAATCTCCCTGCCAGCAAACAAACAGGGCCGAGCTGCTTGCCGGCAGCTGAGGGGGCCCATGGACACGGGGAAGCGAAGAACATGAAACCAGTTAAGGACGTGAAGGTCATTTTGTTGGGGCAGAAGCTTGTGCCTGCAGCTGACAGTTTGCCCTCTGGGTGTTTTCAGAGCTTAAGGGATCAAGTCTGTCCGCATGAAATATGGAATGTCGAATCCAGAAGCCTGCGTGCCCCATCCACCCAACCTCCTGGCCCCTAATTAACACGGCCCCCCGCTTCCTGCCGGGTCCCCCCTGGCACAGCCCTGGAGCAGGCACAGCAAACCGCAAAGTCTGCCAAGATGCGCAGAAACTGGGTTCCGGCCCCGCAAAATATAAAAGAAAATAAGATAATAAAATGACTATCCCCAAGCAAAAACATATTCACAGATGCTAGCAGGGCCCGGGGTGGGGTGCGGGTGGGGGAGATGCCGTGAGAGCCACAGTGGGGGAAAAAACAGGGTCTCAGGGCCAGCGCAGGGGTGACCCCTTGCTCTGGACACAGCCACATGGGCCCAGTCCCTGCCACCTCACAGGGTCCCC